ATTCTACAGTTGATTTTAGCTATCCCAGTCCCATCTCCTGAGCTTGGAAAAGATACGGTGTATTGGGGGCCTTTTGCTTTGGGTAATTTTTCTGTAAGTTCAGCCGATAGATATTTTGATGAGAGGGAGGTGTATGTGGAAAATCCTACATGGGGGAAGATTTGAAAATGGCAAGGATGTCAGCGCATCTGTAGTTTTGTATGGCTGCTCCACCATAATAGGTTGTTGACTAACGTTGGAAAATGAAGTCACCACTTATCCTATCAGGTTTGCTACCCTTTATGCAATGTTGTAGCTGAAACTAGTTTGCATGCTATACGCGACTATCAGCTCACAATTGGCATTTGGCTTCAGTCGGTCCAGTTGAATGAGAGAGAATTGTGTATTGAATTGATGTGTGATTTACATTATACAACACCCTTTACATAGGTGTACAAGGAATATGAGATGTGCTAGGATATAATAAGATACATAATTCGATACACTGCAATTAGATTTAGATATACTAAGATTATATTTAGATATTAGGATCGGATTCAGATACCAGGATCACAATCAGATTTTATTCTAATAGGTCCCAAGTGATTTGCGAGTGTCCTTTTTTCATCCTGTAATATCAGTGAAACATTGAATTTCTTTTAGTTTGTCTCTAGATAAGCTACAATTTAAAGATATTCAATGGACTACATATTTTGGTACTACTTGCTGGATGATTTGGAAACATCAAAATAACTATGTGGTTAATGAGCAAAATATTTCAACTCAGTTTCTAGGCTAGCAATACTACTCTTCGCAAAGCAGTGTCTGCAAACTTTTGATAGAATTAACACTCATACTCGCTTACCTATCACATGGGTAGAGCGGTGGGTGGCTTGGCAGCCTCCAGCACCTGGGACATATAAGCTAAATACAAATAGATCTTCGCCAACCCTTGATGGTCTTGGGTTCGGGGGAGGTCTCATCCGTGACTCAGCTGGCACTTGGCAGGTGAGATTTATGGCTAACATTGGAAGGACATCAGTTTTAGGTATTGAGTTGTGGGCTCTTTTGCATGGTATTACACTGGCATTAATCTCAATCCCTTCATAATCTCCATCTCGAATGTGACAACCTTATACCTGTGCAAATGGTTTATGGTAGTATTGATCCTCTGGCTATGCTTAGGTCGCTTGTTATTCGTATCCGCTTACTTGTGCGCTCTCATCCTCATATTCAAGTATCCTATATTCTCAGGGAGGCAAATTTTGCTACGGATTGGTTATCTAAGTCTGCATCGGTCATCCCTTCTGGCTTCCAGATTCTCCAAGATCCTCCTCCAGGAATTTCATTTTAGTTATTTCATGATATTATAGGAGGTGGACATGCCCACCTTGCTACTAGCTAACTTCGTCTTTCCCTTTATTATACAATATATATATATATATATATATATACACACATACATAGAAGCTGACATGATACAAAGTTAAAGCTTTAAAGTGTTGATTTAGTACTATATTTTTCCTATTTTTTTCATTTTTAATTTAGAGATTTTAATTTAATCAGTTAACATTGGTATTAATGGTAGGAAAATTAATCGTTGAGAAATTGAAAAGACAAATACTTTAACTATTAATATTTAGGTGTTAAGTTGGTATCAATATTGAAATTGTGTTGATTTGGATTAATTAATCATTTTAATCCCGCATCTTATGTTTCTTGTTCAACCCACATAAATCAATTCAAAAGTTATTATCTCTATTTTAGATTATTCAATAATAAATTAATTCTCGATCGCTCAAATTAGGTCTTTTTATTGCTAGTTTCTAAACTACTACATTTTTATATTGTGAATTGTTAAATGAAATTGCTTTTTTCAGTTATTCTGTCGTTTAAGTGAAATTAATTTTTATATCATGTTTGTTGTCATTTCATTTTAGGCAATAATTTGTCAAAGATAAATTGTATAAGGGTTGTAGATTTGCTGGACAGTTTGCTATGAATGGAAAAGATTTTAGTGCCACCAGAAAAACGTGAATGAGGCTTTTAAAAATGTCAATACCAAATCGCGAAATTGGTAAGTCAGTACAAACACTGTTACGTTCATTGAAAATGATATGCTAATCATTTCATTTTGGTTATCCCATGATGTTGTAGAAGGTGGGCATGCCCGTCTTGCTACTAGCTAGCTTTTTCTTTCCCTTTTATTGTAAAAAAAAAAATAATAATAATTAGAAGCTGATATGGGACAAAATTAGAGCTTCAAAGTGTTGATTTGGTACTATATATTTTTCTATTTTTTAATTTTTAATTAGAGATTTTAATTTAATCCGTTAGCGTTGGTATTAATGGTAGAAAAATTAACCGTTGAGAAATTGAAAAGAGAAATGCTTTAACTATTAATATTTAGGTTTTGAGTTAGTATTAATAGGTTTTGAGATTTTAATTAATCGTTTTAATCCCACATGCTATGTCTCTTGTTCAACCCTTATAAATCAATTCAAAATTTATTATCTCTATTTTAAATTACTCAGTGATAAATCAATTCTCAATCGCTCAAATTAAATTTTATATTGCGAGTTTCAAAACTACTCTTGTAGATTTTTATATTATGAATTGTTAAATGAAATATCATTTTTCAGTTATTTTGTTGTTTAAGTGAAATTGATTTTTATATCATGTTTGTTGCCATTTCATTTTTGGCAATGATTTGTCAAAGATAAATTGTATAAGGGTTACAGATTTGCTGGACAGTTTGCTATGAATGGAAAAGATTTCAGTGCTTCTAGAAAAACGTCAATGAGGCTTTTAAAAATGTCAACACCAAATCGCTAAATTGGTAAGTCAGTACAAACACGGTTATATTGATTGAAAATAATATATTAATTATTTCAACTTATGGTAGTATGTATGTTATATATTCTGACGTTAGTTGCTTTTTTTTGTGCTCATAAACTTTTATGACTGTTTCCTCATTCACACGGTGGATTATTTCGGCAAGTGACATAATGTCTCTTGTAGATGATCAGAATATAAGTAGCTATCATAAGAATTTCTACATATTCTAATTATTTTTTATTATTTTCTAAGTGCACTTTCTTTTCCTATTAATAAAGTTAAAATTGATATTTTTAATAACATTAACAAATATATTTTTCAATTTTTAATAATTAATCATATTAATAATATAATTAATGTATCTTGAAGGATGAAATGAGATAGCAATGATCCCTTTCTTCCTTAAATAGATTTTTTTAAATTTGAACCATAAGTATGTAGTCTCGTTAAATATTCAAGAGAGAGCGTTTTGCGCATATTGTGGACTTACCCGATGAAAATCTGATTAGTGAAACTAGTGGATTTCAGATATCTGATCGTGAAAGAAAAGACATAATTAATATCATTTTCAACTAAGTAAAACTTTTGAGTTACTTTTTTCAAAATTATAATTCCACTTTCTTTTAGTTTCCACATTAATGGTGGTAAAATTAATATTTTTAATAACATCAATGATATGTTTTTCGTTGTTTTAATAATTAATAAAATTAATAACACAATTAATATTTTTTGTAACTAATAAAAATCTTGAGCTCCTTTTTTTCTAATAATATTATTAAATAATAATCTTAATTTTATTTTAAATTTCAGGATTTTTCCAATAAGGTTCCTATTCTCTTGGATATTTAGATTGATACAATAAAATAGTATGCTAAACTATTTACTCATTTAAACTCTGCAATATTAAATAAATTATAGATTTCAAAGCGTACTGAAATTTTATTAATATGAGTAAATTTTTTGGATTAATATATGAGTAATTATATCAAGATTTAACAATGGAATAGCGCATTAATATTTTTTGAATTTCCAATCCGTTGCGTAACTAGTTTTAAAATAAAATGGTTGATAGACTTGATGATAATTATAATATTATACCTGTTTATTTTTTTATTTATTCAAATTAGAGTTATTAGATGGGATTAGGACAAGTGCATGTACAGTCAAATACATAAATTCACTTTTGTTTTATATAAAAAATTTTGTGATACTTTCAATTTTTAATTTGATCTATTAAATACTTTAACTTATAAAATTACATTTATTAAATACTTCTCGTAACATTTAGTTAATTATTTATATCGAGTGTTAACTATAATTAGTTATATATCTGTTTACAACTTCAATAGAATTAATATGTCTTTTATCTAATTTTTAAATTGATATATATTGCTTTTTGTTTGGATTATATTTTATTATTTAAACTTATTTATGTCATGCATATATCGTTTTAAATTCCAATTCGATTTGTATCTCAAAAATAATTTAGTTTAAGTTTGAAAAATTCACAAACCGTAGCTATCAGTTTGGTACGAAACTTTCTTCAAACTATCCTAAATCAGACTGTACAAACCCCTACTTTTTATGTTATATTTTTCTCGATTCTATTATTATTATTATTACTATAATTTATTTATTTATTAATTATTATAATAAATTATTACTGAAGTAATAATGGGTTGTCCGATTTCTTTATTTGGTTAATATAATCACATTAACTCTTGATTTTAAATTTAAAAATTAATTTTTGAAAATAAGCAATGATTAATATTCAAGATTTTCCGTAGCATATCCTGCTTACATTTGGAAATTAAATATCTAAAATTAATTAAAAAATTAAAGATTTTAAAAACTTATTATTTTTATTACTCAATAAACTAAAAGATATTTATTTTATTTTATTTTATTAATAAGAAAGATCCTCTCTCCTTTGTAATTAGTAAAAACAATTAAATATTTGTAACAGTAAAATTAAAATATTAACTCATAAATAAAAGAACCCAAAAAAAAAAAAAAATTCAAGAGATCTGATTTTTCCCAAAAAACCATCAGGCCGACCTACTCAAGTTTCAAAGAATTAAGGGTATCCTTGGAATACAAAATTCATAAAATAATAATTTTAACAAAACAGTTAAGCTTTCTTTTATGGCGCCTTCCACAGTTTTAGTTCAGAAGGTAAAAGATTGATATTTGCAGTTCGCCATTGTATTTTATATAAAGGGAAGCGAAGATATTATACTGCATGGAAGATAAAAACGACATATCCATAGCCTCACAGTTGTCTCCGGCCACCATACCCGATGGCTCTCTGGTGGAAGCCAAAGAGCCGAACCTTTGCGATGGTGGTGGTGTTGGTGCAGTAATAGACTCTGGAGGTGACGGAGGAGGAAGAGCGTCAGAGTCGGTTATGACTGTCGAAGTAACAGTTAAGAGAAAAAGAGGGAGGCCAAGGAAATTTGATTTGGGCGCAAAAGCGACATCGTTGCCGCCGCCTGGTTTTTCATCATCTATATCTATGACCTGTGAGAAGCGAGGCAGAGGAAGGCCACCCGGCTCCGGTAGACTTCAGCTATTGGCTGCTCTTGGTAAGGTTTCTCATGTTTATTATTGCTTTAGAGTTGGTGCAAAGTTGATCTTCCTAATCTTTGATAAGCAAATTTCAGGAAATAAGTAAATACTGAAATAATCTCCAGTTCTGTAAGAAAATTCAATAAATTTGAATTCCTTTTATATCGAGTTATTCGTTGTTTATGCGTGATTTGAGATTGTACATTAGTAATTTTATTTAGATTAGGGTTAATTCGTAAGATAATTTGTGGTTAGCCTTTGTAGTTTTTAATTGTTAGTTTGAGGTCTTCACAATCTCCAATCCAATTTATGAACGATTTATACTGCTTCTTGATTTTAGTGCAGACTTAGCTATGAACAGAGTGGAACAGAAACAAAAGATATATATAGCTGATCCCAGTCAGTTTGAGACGAAGGGTTCTTGTTGTTGACTAATATAACTAATATATAAACAAGCTCTAATGTTTTTTATAATTTTGATTTTCCTAAAGGTGGTATTGCTGCAGAAACAGCAGGAGGAAGCTTGATTCCTCATGTGATTACAGTGAACTCGGGAGAGGTATATATTGTTCCTTAAACATTAATTTTCTTTTGACATTCCAATTTGCCTGCCTTATTCTTGATTATTTGGCTTTCATCTAATTAAATCTGTTCTTTCATTAAACATCAGGATATTGTAAGTCTGATAATATCATTCGCCCAAAAAGGTTCTCGAGCAGTTTGTGTTCTTTCTGCTACTGGAGTTGTCTCAAGTGTTATAATGCGCCAACCAGGTTCTTCTGGTGGAATTTTGAGATATGAGGTATTTATTGTATCTCATCTAATTCTTTCTAATTGCTAATTTAGTACAATGAAAATATATAATTAATTTACTATTGTCATATCTTATATCAGAATTCAAATAATATTTTTTTATCTGGTTAGTGGGTAGTGATTGGTTTTTTACAGTGGTACTATTGTCATATCTTATATCAGAATTCAAATAATATTTTTTTATCTGGTTAGTGGGTAGTGATTGGTTTTTTACAGTGGAATTTTTTTTTTTTTTTTGATTTTCTTGGCAACCAAACAGATTAATACTAGTATAATATTTGATTATTTTCCATAACCAAACATGTCTAAATTTCTACTTATCTATACTATATATAAATATGAGAATAGATAGGATAATGAGATTTTTAATGGCGCCGTTGATAATACTTAATATATTTTAAAATAACCTTAGTCATAACTAATTAGAAATTACTACATCCATCCCATTTGTTACTTGTTATTCTTTTTTTTTTTTTCTGTCCCAAAATGTTTGCAAGATTTCTAAATTTATATATGTAAACAATTGTTTTTCCCATGATAACCTTGATGATCCTTTATTAAATAAAGAAATTTTATTAATATCTTAATAAGTTAAGGGTAAAAAGGGGTAAAATAAATTTTTTGACTAAATCTTAATATGCGTGTTTTGTCAAACTATGCAAACAAAATAGGACGGAGAGTGTACATATATTTATCAAAAAAATTTTTAAGCTAATCATGTGTGGTTTGACTGTCTTCTCGCTTATGTGAGAAATGAGAGACCTCAAGTTCGAATTTTCTCGACCACAAATGTTTTCATCAATTTAGTGTGTGGAGGATTCTTTCTTATTGTATAGCCTATAATGTAATTTCGGCCAATTAGACCTCTCATGAAAAAATTATTTTTAAATAAATAAATACATATACATACATATATATAAATATATAAATAAGTTTTCAAAAAATTTAAGTTTTATCTTTACTACAATTATTTTTTAATAAATATATATAATAATGAGAAATTTAAAATTTTGTATTTTATTTTTGTATTTTATTTATTAAATATTTAATTCTTTTAGGATATAGATAAAAAAAAGAAAATATATTCTTTTTGTAAATATTTTAACTTTATGTTTGTATGATTTGATCGGATATATTTTTTAAAGAAAATAAAATTTTAAATAGAATATATATAATATTTTACTTAGGAGAGAGCTAAAAAAAGAAGAAAAAATATGTTATTTTTATTAATATTTTTTTATTTATGTTTGTAAAATTTGATTGGATATATTTTTTAAAAAGTAAATTTGAAATAAAATTTACATAATTAAATCTGGAATGCTAAACAATTGAAAATTTTAATTTAAAAAATATATATTATTTTATTTATATACATTGAAAACATTTTTTTGTTAGGTGAGTTTTAAAAGAGTTTTATTCTTAATAATTTTTTTTTCATTACTGAATAATTTGTAACTATTATAATTTTAATTTAGTAAGAGATTTATATCTCTCATGCAATAAATAGATGGCCTCAATAAATAGATGGCCTATTGATGATTAAGGATTTTTAATTTTCTTGATATTTTTTTCTCTTATATCCTAAATTTGTTTGATTTAAAAGAAAATAATCTTTAGGAAACTATAAAAAAACCAGAACTATATACTTTTGTTTGGATCACTTTTTGGATTTTAAGAATTTGTGTATATGTGCATAGATTCCTTTCTCCGATACACTTGAGTAAGTAATACTACCACTATAGTCAAAGTGATTTTCATTATAAATTCAAATTATCTTTTCATTTATTTTCTTTTACCTAGTAGTAAAAAAATATTATTATTTTTTTATTATAATTGTATATAAATATTGATTTGATGTTGAAAGCAGGGGATTGGAGATTAAGTGATGACTTAATTTTTTTTTGACACCTATTAAGATTTTAAAAATCTGCATTTATAAATTAGAAACTAAAGGATTAAGTCTAAGGATTGAATTGAATTTTATTCGGAGACTACTTCATTATATAATATAAATAAAACAATTAATATATAACAAATATAATCAACGTGCAACGCATGTCCTACAAAATACTACTGTAAATAAGATCCAATTTCTAATTGTTTTTCTTTTGGCAGGGCCGCTTTGAAATTCTCTCTTTACGTGGATCATTTACATTTGGCCAAAAAAAGGGGGCACGAGCACATAGCAAAACTGGCATGTTAAGTGTTTCTCTCGCGAAACCTGATGGCGGGGTTTTTGGTGGCGGTGTTGTTGGCTCCTTAATAGCATCGGGACCTATTCAAGTAAGCTATCTATTTATAATTTATACCTCTCCAGTAGTTCACGGTGCCGGAATTCCTCTAATTTTAGAATTTTCCTAAATTTTATTTTATAAAATATAAAAAATTTTAAAATTTACTTATAAAATAGTGAATTTCTTTTAATTTCACCTGCTTCGAATTTTTTGAAAATTAAAATAGTGAATTTCTTTTAATTTCACCTGCTTCGAATTTTTTGAAAATATTTTTTTCTCTCCCCTTAAAATTTATCCTAATTCTGTCAATTCATAAATTTTATCAAAAAATCTCTTTCTTAAAATGTATTGGATGTGTCTGTTCTTCATCAGATGCGTAAAAATCATTAGAGTATCTGCTCCATTTATAAAAATTGAACTCTCGGCTTCACATAATAAAGAAAAAGAGTATCAAATCACTCATTTTCAGTCTTTTTCATCCTTTACTTTTTCACAAGTTTCTGTTAACTTTTACTTTCTTACAAGACTTTGTGTTGAATATAAATAAGCATAAAATTTAATTATTTGTAAATTAATGAAAAATAATTATATAATAGATTGTTATACTTGGAGTAAATATAAAATTAATTTTAAGTATTCATTTTTTTACTAATTTGTACTTAAATAATTGTATTTCACTTGTATTTTTGGTTAAGTTTGGATACATCATCTTTAAATTTCAACCAATTTGATTAGATATTCAACCCAAACAATAACAATTCATGAAATTAAAAAAAAAATTTGATTTTGAATGAACTTTTCATTTATGCCAAATATCTAAAAACTTTTCATTTATGCAAATATCTAAAGTGCAAACTTACAAATAAATTCCTTAAATTTTAGAGAATTGATTTGTTTCAACTTTTTCAGCTAATTTTGGCGAGTTTCAAGCAAAATATTAGTAAGAATATCAAATTGAGTCAATTGGCTAATTCTTCAACAGCTGGTGGGACTTTGCTTGCGGATTCAGAAATTGCAAAATTTCCCATACAAATTGCAGCAATTACAGAGGGTGAAGGGAATTGCACAGACTCTGCTAATACATTACCTGTAAGCCAACAACACATGTTGAAAATTGGTCCTCAAGATATATTTCAGCTTCCACAACCCATTTCAGGAGAAAGGGCACTGTCTCCAGATAAAAATTCCATTAATAATATTTGAAGTAAGGGTTGTGGGATTCTTAATTTCTTTTTCTTTCTGTTATGTTTCTGATTATAGCCCTTAATTTGGTTTGGTGTTGGTAAGACTTTTAGATGTGAGGATTTTGAGTGTGAGAACAAATATGTCATTTTGAAATATCGAATACCTTTAGTTTAATTATCTGCATAATCGTTAATATAAATGAATGTGGAATTTATTTGGAATTTATTTGACAAATTCATACATATTTCAGGATAAACTTTTTTCCTTCAAAAAGAAAAGGAAAATTATGATACTACAAAATAGCTTTTAGCTGTTTTTGATCCAAGTTAAATTTATATTTCTATTAATTTGTAGTGGGTTGGATCTATTAAATACTCTAACGTTTAACTTAGTTTTTAATTAAAGTTTTAACGATCATACCTAGGGATCGAAGTGGTGTGGATATTTTAGGAATACTTCATCCCGCTTCACTCCATGTTAAAGAGGATAATTATAGTTATAAATGAATTTTGAAAACGGATACGAATAAGTGAATTACTACCCAGTACCTGTTACCCGCTATATTAAACGGTTTTTGGGCAATGTGGTACTTATGGGTATCTAATCCATTTATTTACTAAAATTATATATTAAACAAATTCAAACTTGCGATACTTAAGATTAGCGGATACTGCTACTTATCATAAAGAGTACTTTAAAAATAAGTTTTGGGATGAGTATGAGTAGTAAAAAATTTTAAAAAACGGGTTCGAATGCAGATATTTTAAATAGTATTTGAAACGATTAGAACGAATGCGCCAAATTAGGTTTTAAAAAAAAAATTTTTTTTTAAAAAATGAAATATGGGTATGGGTAGCTTCGAGTAGTAAAAATTTAAACGGGTTCGAATGCAGATATTTAAATAGATATTTGAACGGATTTAGAACGAATGCGAATAGTAAAATTTTAAATGAATATGGGTATGGGTAGCTTCAAATTCGTGGATATTCGTCCCACTTTCATCCCTAAGCATACTTATTGTTTTTACCTCCAAATTCAATTAGTTAAACAACTAATATTCTTTTTTATAACTATTTTTTCTGAATATTTATAATGTAAACCGCTATATAAAAAGCTACAAACTAAAAAGTTAATAGTTAACAACTAACAACTAATAGAAACACACTAAAACAGTTAATGTTACCAAATAGATACTAAATGTCCTTAATTTATAATAAATTTATAACAAAATATAGTTATAAAAAAAATATAGTTGGAATACTAAATAAAAAAAAATAAAAATTTCACACATCAATTATATAATTAATTTTGTTTACAATAATCCAGGAAAAAAAATTATAAAGTTGAAGAAACTAAAGTGTCAAACATTAGCAAATAAGCGATAAGTTTTAGCGTCGAGAGTAACTTGTCTAACTGCTGCAATTGCTGCGATAACTCCTAAAGCAGAGAAAACAACTGCAATGGTAGTATTCAACCAGAAAATAAGGCTCTTCTTGGAGGGCTTAAACGTCAAGTTGAAGAAAACAACGGGCAAGATAAAATCAAGAGGCATGAAACCAAATGCTCCAATCAAAGAATTTATGTCTCCAAAAAATGGAAGCATTGCTGCTATTGTAGTTGATATGATCACAGACAACGATCTTGACACTATTCTTGGTACAACGTTACGTGTCGAAAATTCTTTGCTCCTTGTGTCTGCAAATGTTCTTTCCAACACTTCATTTGTTGGCTGCAAGTAAACCTGTAAACACAGCATATATTATGTGTATTTAATATTTATCTCTCAAAATGTTTCAAATTGAAACCAATTTGAACTTGGGTAGCTTCAAGTTTATAATTTCAAGCTTATAGTTTGAGCTTTACATTCACAGTAATAGATAGATTTATGTAATTTTTTAAATGAAAATCCAAAGTTAAAGTTGTTGGAAAACGAGTTTCACGCTGATTAATATATAATAAAATAACTAAAGGACTTATAATTAGATAAACAGTGCACCTAGCACAATTTAATTGGTTTTCTTCAAGTGCATTCCAACAAGTTCTTATTATAATCCGATGTATAGATTCCATGAATCGACCTATGGTATTAAGTTAGGTTAAGGCTGACTCAGTTGAATTTATTGGTGCGAATGACTCGATTGAGTTTTTCTAAATCAAGTTGAACTTAGTTAAATTAATTACTTATTCATCAACCTAAATTGAGTTTTTCTAAATCAAGTTGGACTTAGTCAGGTTCTATGCTAGAGCGACTCGATTTGATTAAATTCCCAAGTTAGATAACTTAATAAAGAGAGAATTCTTACCACAGCAACAGCAGGTAATTGGAGAATAGTGAAGGTGTTGGTCATCAAAACGAACCATTTAGGGACCAAAGGCTTTCCACTTGTTACAAAGTTGCTAAGGATGAGACCTTCAGCTTTGTTTCCAAATGCCCAATATCCAGAAATGGCTACACTAAAGAATGTCACTGTCACTACACTATAACATATAACAAGTCCCTTCAACATCTTCCCTTTCACTGGTGCTGCTATGGTTGCCTGCAACCATTTTTATTTTTTAAATTAAAAATTAAACATTAAATCTATCTTTTAATTATAATAATATTACATACTATTCAAACCTGAATTTAATAATATTTACATACTATTCAAACCTATGAATTTTCTTTGGAATGATTCCCATTGCCTTATTCGTTTTTGTCGCGAATGATAGCAATTGCATTAACAGATCCAAAAACACGGTCTTTGAGTGTCTCCTTTTTTAGAGGGAAATAGTCCTTTTGGTTCCTTTTGAAATTTTCCTGTGAAAAAAAGAATAGTTAAATTAAGAATTAAAATTTTAATTTTTTAATTCCAAAATTACTTACACAAATTACTAATATTATCATAGAATTAATCGTTGAAATACTAAACTTATAATTTTACTTGAAAAATAAATTTGAATACTCAATTATTTCAAATAACTTATTTTTAATTAATTAAAATTGATTTAAGGTTCGATTTAAAAAAATAAAAATAAGATATATTTATTGTGTCGGTGCCCACTCAAGTGGGACCCACACAGTTTAAAAAAAAAAAAAAGAGAAACACGTCTTATTTGAAAAAATCAAAAAGTTGGCAAAAGGTTGGCAACCAACCATTACCAAAATGGAGAGCCGTGTGTAACTCACACACGGCTCGAGCGAGTTTTCTAGTTTTAGGATGGGTTTCCTAAAACTAGGGGAGAGAAAAATAATGAGGATTATTTGGGAAACACTTTGTGTGCTACTATTTTTGTATTACTCTCTTTGTGTACCTACTATTTTTAATAGTGGAAGAATTATTCGGAGTTTGTCCCGTGGACTGTCCCTTGGACGTAGCCCTAAAACAGTTGAGGGTGAAACCACGTAAATTTTGTGTTGTCATAATGTGATTATTCCCGCTGAGTTAATTTTTCTCTAAATTGGTCGAAAGGCCCCAACGATGGTATCAGAGTTGATGCCCAACAACTCGGTATCAGAGCTGAATTTCCTAACAAGTTGGTGATTCAGAGCCGAAGGTTTCGGCAGGTCCAGACCGGTCAGATAGCGGATACCGGATCCGTGGATATATTTTTGAAAATAAATATTACCATGACACGAGAGAAATTACGACGGAGTCCCATTGGTGCTGTCCGCTCGAAAAAAGGACGTGTGCAGAATCGACTTTTAGGATGGAATAGGTTAAAATATTTACTCTCAAAGTTGATGCGTGAAACAACTATTGGCGTTACTGTTGTTGATGTAAGTAAGCCCAGCACTATTCACGATTAGTACTATTCACGTGTACAATTAACTATTCATGATACAGTTACTATTCCGAGGTATTACTATTTTACTAGTCATTGTCACTATTCACGTATACTTACTGTTCACGATATACGGTTGTTATGTTGGTTGATGATTTTTCTGCGCAAGTTCAAAATGGAATAAGCAAAATGATCAGTCTAAATTTGACGGGAATTACCATATATGAGAAATGAGGAGATATATATGGAGAAATGAGAGATCTCCTTATGGTAATTAAAATGCATTTGTCTGTGTTTAGTTCAACTAAACCGGAAGACAAGACTGATAAGGAATGGGTTTTCGAGCATGCGTCCAAATCTCGGTTGGTAGATTTGATGATGAAGGTTTCTATAGCACCTTCAGAAATGGTCAGTGGAAGCTCACAAATGGTTCATTTGTGGTAGCTAATAGCTAAAGACTGAAAGCTGTACGTGATGCATGCGAAACTCTCCCAAGACACTTTGAGTGTAGCGGAGAATGACAGTACAGTTGAATATGGCATAAGCGACTACGCCACATGAGTAAGAAAACTCTGGCAAGAAAGAACGTACTACCTGGATTGGATGAAGTTCACCTAAACAAGTGTCTTGATTGTATGGCGAGAAAGCTAAACGGAGTAGCTTTCAAGGTTGCCCCTCCTTCTAGAATGAAGAATGTATTAAATCTGATTCATTCAGATTTGTGTGGACCATTATGATGTCATATGGTGGAAATCGATATTTTGTGACATTTATCGATATTTTGTGACATTTATCGATGACCATTCTAGGAAGACCTGAGTATACACATTGAAGTCTTCTAAACCTGGTTGAGAGACAAACAGGCAAGAAATTGAAGTGTATCAGGATAGATAATGGTGGAGAATACACTGGGCCATTTGATACTTTCTGTAAAAAGCATGGCATTCGACATCAAACAACACCTCCCAAGATGCCGCAACTGAATGGTTTGGCTGAGAGGATGAATAGAACTTTGATGGAGAGAGTCTGATGTTTACTCTCACATGCAAATTTGTCTAAAAGATTTTGGGGTGAAGCTTTACTTACAGCAATTTATCGTTCACCTTGTTTTCCTCTACAGTATGATACTCCAGAGAGAGTATGATCAGGAAAGGATGTTTTCTATGATCATTTGCTGGTGTTTGGTTGCAAAGCCTTCGTGCATATCCCGAAGGATGAACGGTGTAAGCTTGATGTCAAGACTAGACGGTGTGTATTCATTGGCTATGGCCAAGACCAATTTGGCTATAGGTTTTATGACCCAATCCAGAAGACGATTATAAAAAATCGTGATGCTGTATTTGTTGAAGATCAGACTATTGAAGATATTGAAGCATATTGAATGCAGAGTGCCAATAGATCTGATGAAGACT